CTTGGTGTGGGGGGGGGGGGGCAGCGAAAACATTCTTCCAGGTTGAATCATTGGTATTATTAGCATAGCACTGAACAAAGCCTAAATATATCAGGCTTTTTGATAAAGAATTTTTATATGCCAAGAGCACAATTTTATCGCACTGGCACCTCTTGCTGACGGGGCTGGGGCTGGGTCCGCCTTCTACCAATTAACTCCGTTTCCCTGTTCATTGTTTCCCAACTTCCCTTTTTTCTTCTTCAAAGCACCAGGAAACCTGCTTCATACCAACAAATAGACGGGAAGACACGGGGTCCTGTTATCACCATGTTGCGGGCTTCCCCGGACCCTACCCAAGTCGTGTGCCAAAACCCCGTCGTGAAAAAAGCTTTGGTGATTTTGGCTGAGCATTTCGGGTGACGATTTCCAACGACCTTCCCTGAACTTTGCCAAAACAATAGCTTAGAAACCAGCCGGGCTATGGAAAGACTTAGACCTGGTGTTTACTTTCTCAACCGGGCCAGCCCAGTTTTAAGTGTCTCTTCGTATGTTTGGGGAGCGTTTGCCCCTGGGGCAGTGCCTGTGTTGATATCCTAGAAGGGACAGAGGCGGGCACTCCTTTCGGGTAGTGGGAGGAAGGCCACCAGAGAGGGAGAGGTTGGGAAGGAAAACCTCCCGCAGGTGAGGGTTTGTTTGTTTTTTTTAATGTTTATTTTTGAGAGAGAGACAGAGAGACAGAGACAGAGTGTGAGTGGGGGAGGGGCAGAGAGAGAGGGAGACACAGACTCCAAAGCAGGCTCCAGGCTCCGAGCTGTCAGCACAGAGCCTGACGCGGGGCTTGAACTCATAAGCCCGCAGGTCAGTTTTAGAAGACAGACATGCTGAGGGCTGGGGAATTATCCACTTATAGCTCTTACACGTTAGCCCTCAAAAGGGACTCCGACGCATGCTGCAAGGTGACACTAAGTGAAAGAAGCTGGCACCAAAGGACAACTCATGTGTCGTCCCACTTACGTGACGTATCCGGGAGACGCAGACTCATTAAGCATAGATGGCGGCTGTCAGGGGCCGGGGAAGCAGAAATGGGGAGCTAGTGTTTCGCGGGAAGAGAGTTTTTGTTCGATGAAACAGTCTTGGAAACAGAGGAGACCGGTGCACCACATGGTGAACGTGCTACTCAATTGCACACCGAAAAAGGGTTCAAAGGGCCAATGTCATGTTGTATGTATTAAACCACCACACGTACAAAAAACGGCATTCGTGAACTCCAGAGACATGAGGACCTGGGGAGGCGAGGGGCGTTAAGGATATCTGACAGTCAGTGCAGGGCCTGCACCCCCACAGAATGGCCAAGTGCTGAGTAAATCCCACGCCTGCAACATCCCATGTCAGCCCAGCCCTGCCCCCGGCCTACCTGGCGGAAGCTGGGGCTTAGCCAAGCCTATGGATGAGGCTGGGGCAGAGGAAGGCGGGCCTTCTACCGTGACCCTGGGCTCCGGGGCTGGCTGGCTCGTGGTGGAGGCCGGCTGGGAGGGTGCGGGCATGTGGCTGGGGGTGGCTGCCGGACCCTTCCCCACTGCCACGGGTGGTGGGATGTCCCCTTCGTCGATGGCGTTACCCTTCCGGACCGAGGCCAGCAGGTTTTCAAGTGTCTGAGAGAAGGTGCGAAATGGGTTTCCGAGGAGCCTGACAGCTGGGTGCGGTGGGCCGGCGGTAGGGTGCCAGCGCCCTCCCGTCACCCGCCAGCCCGCTCACCTTAAGCCCCCGGTCGTAGCGCCGCATCTTGGCTCCACCTCCAGCTTGCCTAGCGCTTTCGATCGCCCTCTGGTAGAGGGCCAGCCTCTCCTGCAAGGTGGCCTCCACCCCG